CGAGGAGGAGTGCAGTAAACTTCATCCAGAATTAGTTCCAGTAGTGGACAAACAAGGTGATGGTGGTGTTGCACAAGGTGGAGGGAGGAAGGGTAATGAACAACAACTGAAAATTTTATCTAGTGGTAAGATAGTGGGTAATGTTGGTAAGAATTGGAGAGAAGTAAGGGATAATAGAGTGAAGAACAATGCTAATCAAGAAAATAATCAAGGCAAGACTAGGAAAGAAATTGTTCCAATCCATCAAGGAATAAGGCAATAGCTGCAAACAACCAATAAATTTGCAGCCCTTGAAGATACTGAAGGTGGCAAGGAACAAACTAATCAATTGGCCATAGTTGAGGAAGTTACTATTCAACGAAGCCCTAACCCTAATGCCCAGCGTAGCCCTACTCCTAAAGGATATGGGAGATTAAATCTAGCGGTACCTTTTTTTAATCCAAATCCAGCTAGGAATGAGTTGAAGGGAGTTAACACGACTAGTCCTAAAGGGAATAAAATAAAGGGTCAAATAAATATTGAATCTGCAGCTTAATGGGTTCAAAGAACATTTGTTGGAACTAGGGTTAATGTTAATACTTCCTGTCAAGAGGTTCCATCGCAAGAAACACATGTCGTTGAAGAACTGGGTAAGCAATCTGAACAAATTTAGCTTGGGGAAGGAAAGTTATGATGTGATCAAGTTGAAGAATATTCTGAAGAAGAAGAGGATGAATTTTTTGAAGATGATGACATACAGGAAGAAGATGATCCCACTTGTGAAGAACAAAGTTCTAATGAAAACGGTGAACAAGGAGTAATGAAGTCAATAGAGACTGACAACGATTCTAATAAGGAGGATCCTTCACAGGATCAAGCCTTACAAGTTGAATATGTACAAGTCCAGGAGTTGAGGATCCCTAATCATAAAGAGGCCACTGGGAACCCGAATGATGCAACATTAAACCCTAATGATAGAGTTATAAGTCTAAATGATCCTGCGAGAACTGGTAGTGGTGAAGAACATGTTAATGAGATTAACCGCGTTAACACACAACCTGAAGATGGTGTCAACAGAAATACCATGAAAATGCAGCTATAACAAAAGGTGTGCAACAGTTAGGGCAACAATGTGTTATTGTAGTTAATGATTCATTGAAGAGTTTAGTTTCTTCAAGTGGAAATAAAGGAAAGGAGAATTCTAACAGAAATTTAATCCCCAGGCCTACCAATAACAGTTTGGCATTTTAAAAGGGATCCAAGGGGGCAAAATTTCTAACTGTAGCTCAACGAAAAGGATTTCGATGAAGAATCCACTGAACAGAATTTTTGCAATGTGGCAAGGCAGGGAGATTTATCACCAATACATATGGAAAAAGGAATATCGGATATAAAGGGAAGGAAAAAACAAGTGAAGGATTCTAGTGTTCCAATTGCGGGGTACAAACGAGAAGGGCCTTAACTAAATCAAGTAATTAGATATGAATGCTATTATTTGAAATATTAGGTCATTGAATACAATGAAAGCCTTTGAAAGGCTTGTTACAATGAATATACAACATCATTTTGAAATTATAGGGATCATGGAACCAAAGCAAAACTCGAGGAAGCTGGAAAAATATCGGAGGAAGATTGGTTTGGCTCAAGTTTCTGTGAACATCTCAAACAAAGTGTGGGCTTTCATTGATGAAAAATATGAAGTATAGGTGCTCATGGATACAGTACAACACCTGACTTTAAAACTTTTCAACATGGAAACTCACAAGGAACTAATATGATTCTTCGAGTTAACAAAGAAGCAACCGACCAGGGTCAAGATCTTGAGACGAAAACGTGGTTTGTAGGCCGATTTCAAGAAACAACGTATCTCAAGTTTTAGAACTCGAAATATGATGATTCAAAAACGAGGTGAAAGATGACAATCTAAAATATAAGAAAGACTATTTACTCGTTCAAAACAAGTAAATATTGAAGATGCAGTGGTTCAATGAAAGTTCTGATTCTAGGATATCAAAATAACGAATTTATATCAAGAAAAGTGTTCTTGAATGAAAAGTTCTGAAAGTCACCACTTGGAATCAATTAACGTGATAAAGAAGCACCACACGCAATTGAAAATAAGATAAAGACTATCACCACCTTGCTTGGAATCAAAAACAAGGATGAAGAAGACAAAATAGAGAAAAATACTCTATTGTAAAACTAGGCAGACTTTAAAAATGTGAATTGCATTCTACAAGGTAAGAGAAATCTTTATATAGGCCTAGAGTCTCTTCTTTGATAACTACAATTCCTATTCTAATAAGAAAATAAAATAACTAGACAAAGAAAGTAAAATCCCTATTCTATAAGAAAAAGAAACTAGAATCCTACTAAAAGGAAAATCCTTATTCTAAAAAGAATAAACTAAATCCTATTTTAAGAAGGAAAGGATCTTAGATTCTTGAAATCAATCTTGGGCCTTTTGAACTTGAAGACATGTCCACACACCTATTCGCGGGCATATAAGAACTTATTTTTGGCGAGCTAAATAATAAAAGGCTAATATAGCTTCTTGATTTGCATCATTCTCCCTAGTTGAAAAGGACTCGTCCTCGAGTCTAAAGGCTCTATAAATAGCGCAAGGTCATCAACATTAAATATTGGTGAAACCCGATAATCGTCCGGTAGATCCAATCTATAAGCATTGTCACCTAACTTTTGAGCAACTCGAAATAGACCATCAGCTCTTGGTTGCAACTTTGGAAACTTTTGGTTAAGAAATCTTTCTTTCCTAAAGTATACCAGACTAAGTCTCCCACGTTAAAGAATTGTTGTTTTCTCTTCTTATCAACTTGTTTCTTATATGCCTTTGTTTGTCTCTCAATCTCTTGTACTACTTTCTCATGCAACTTTTTTAATTGCTTAACCCTCTCATCAACATCTCCACTAAAATAATGGGTTTTAAGAAGAGGAGACAAGTCTAATGTACCAAGATGATTCTTACCATAAATCACTTCAAAAGGACTTTTTCTAGTTGTTCGATTCACAGACTTGTTGAAAGCAAACTCAGCATGTGGTAGCAAGGATTCCCACTCTCTTATGTTCTTCTTGATAAAACTTCTTAGCAATGCACCTAAACTTCGATTGACTTCCTCTGTTTGTCCATCTGTTTGAGGGTGATAAGATGAGCTATATTTCAACTCCATACCAAGCTTAGCCCATAAGTACGCCAAAAATGATAGAGAAACTTAGTGTCGCGATCAGAAATAATGCTTCTTGGAATGCCGTGTAACTTGACAATATTGTTAAAGAACAAAACAGCCACATGAGTTGCATCACTTGTCTTGTTACATGGGATAAAGTATGCTATCTTAGAGAATCTGTCAACAACAACAAAGATATCATCCTTTCCTATTTGAGTCCTTAGCAATCCAAGCACAAAATCCATGCTAATATGTTCCCACAGTGTTGTAGGAATTGGCAAAGGCTCATATAATCCCTTATTGCTCCCATGTACTTTTGCTTTTCTACATGTTTCACAATTCTCAATCAGCCTCAACACATCTTTGTTCAATTTAGGCCAGTAGAAGTTTTCTTGAATAATCTTCAATGTTTTAGAATGGCCAAAATAACCAGCTAATCCACCCTCATGTGCTTCCCTCACAATGGACTCCCTTAAAGAGCTTTGTCGTAAGCAAAGCTGCTTTCTACAGTAAAGAAACCCATCATGAATTACAAACATTCTTTGTGGACCCTCCAAGCATCTCTTCCAAATATCTCCAAAGTCTGGATCAGCTTCATAAAGCTCCTTGATATGGTTGAATCTAAATACATTAGTTTGCATCATAGAAAGTAAACATGGTTTTCTACTAAGAGCATCAGCCACTTGATTAGGGTTTCCAGCTTTGTGCTTAATTACAAACTGAAAATTCTGAAGGAACTCTAGCTATTTTACATGCCTTGCATTGAGCTTTTATTGGTGACTAAGATACTTTAGTGCCTCATGATCAGAATATAGCACAAAATCTCTTGGTAATAAATAATGACTCCAATGTTACAACACACGAACAATAACATAGAACTCTTTTTCATAGGTGGAGTACTTCAATTTAGATCCATTTAGCTTCTCGCTAAAATAAGCCACGGGTTTACCTTCCTGGCTAAGAACTCCTCCGACACTAACACTTGAAGCATCACATTATACTTCAAATAAAACATCAAAGTTAGGCAACTGAAGGATATATGAGCTTGTGTCATCTTCTTCTTTATCAATTCAAAACTCTTTTGAGCTTCTTCATTCCACTTGAACATGCCTCCTTTCAAACACTCAGTTATAGTGGCAACCAACGTGCTGAAATCTTTGATAAATCTTCGATAGAAAGACACCGTTCCATGAAAGCTCCTTATATCTGAAATTGACCTAGGAATTGGCCAATATATGATTGCTTCAATCTTGCTTGGGTCGGCTTGAATACCACTACTAGTTACAATGTAACCACGAAAGCATTTGTTAGTATAAAAGATGCACTTCTTGAGTTGTGCATATAGCTTCTCTCTCCATAAGGTTTCAAAAACCTTCTCCAAATGCTTTCCATGTTCAACTTCCTCTTTGCTATAAATTAGGATATCATCAAAGTAGACAACAACAAACTTCCCAATGAATGGTATAAACATATGAGTCATAAGCCTTATGAATGTGCTAGGAGCATTCGATAAACCAAAAGGCATTACCAACCATTCATACAAGCCTTGGCTAGTCTTGAAGGTAGTATTCCATTCATCACCTTCTCTCATACGAACTGGTGGTACCCACTCTTCAAATCAATCTTTGAAAAGATCTTAGAACCATGTAATTAGTCAAATAGATCATCTAACCTTGGAATTATGAAGCGATATTTGATAGTGATATTGTTGATTGCTCGACTGTCAACACACATCCTCCAATTGCCATTTTTCTTAGGAACAAGCAAATCAAGCACGACATAGGGACTAAGGATCTCCCTTATTAAACCCCTCTCCAATAGCTCTTCGACTTGCCTTTAGAGTTTAGCTTGTTGTGTAGGATTCATCCTATAAGCTGCTTTGTTTGGAAACGATGCTCCGGGTATAAGGTCTATTTGATGTTGAATATCGTGCATGGGTGGAAGTTCTAACAGAACATCTTCCGAGATCACATCCGCATACTTAGTAAGTAACTTCTTGGCTCGTGTATTTAACTCATGATCCTCATCTTGTGAGTCTCCCATGGCTACTGCTATGTACAATGGCTTTCTTTTATTGATGTGGCCAATAATCTGTGATCTGGTCATTAGTGTATCAGACACGGTCTTTGCCTTCTTTGAAAGTTCTTTTGGGTGCAATGGTGTCAAAATGATCTTACGTCCATCAACTATGAATGAATAGGTATTATGGTATCCATCATGAAAAGCACGCTTATCATATTGCCATGGTCTTCCAAGTAATAAATGGCAAGCATCTATCTTTACAATATCACACCAAATTTGGTCTTTATAGATCTTACCAATAGAAAAAGAGACGAAGCATCTTTTAGTGACTTTCATACCTCTACCATATTGCAGCCACCCAACTTTGTAAGGTTTGGGGTGTACCTCAGTTTCAAAACCCAATTTAGTCACCATCTCTTCCGAAACAGCATTAGTGCAACTTCCACCATCAATAATCACTGAACATACCTTGCCATGTGATGTACACCTCGTGTGGAAAAGGGCCTCTCATTTCGATGATTCTTCATCTTCATGTTTATTATGTAAGATCCTCTGAATAGCAAGCATATCACCTTCATTAGGTTCTACATAGGCATCCTCATCTTCCTCACTAACTTCCTCAATTGGCTGGTTGTCTTCATGATTGGAATCATCTTCTTAGTCAACTAATATAACAGCCTTTTGGTTGGGACAATCAGGTTGCACATGAACAAAACCTTGGCACTTAAAACATCTTCTCCTAGTCATATCCCCCTGAGGTTTCTTTTCATCACCCTTTGAAGCTGAATTAGAAGAATTACCTCTATAAATGACCTTGGAATTTCCACCACTACCACTACTAGTACTCCCCTGGTTGGGGTAATTCTTCTTGGAGCATAATTTCTTTGGTTCCTTTTGTTGTTGCTCGATGTTGATGGCAGGCTTTCATACATCATTGAATGTCCAATAAGGTTGTAGGCGAATAACATCGGAAATGGCACGCCTTAAGGCACCAATATATCTTGCTATAGTCTGTTCTGTAGGTTCTCGGGTATCACACTTAATCATGAGGTATTCAAACTCTCGAGTATAGTCTTACGGTCTGGTCTCCTTGGTGGAAGTTATGAAATTTAAGATAATTCTCTTGTTTGTACGTATCAAGAAGAAAATGTCTTCGAAGTTCTCTCTTCATCTTCTCCCAAGTTCGAATCTTACCATGACCTTCTCTTTCTCTTTCTCGCTTCATATTGTCCCACCAAAGTGAAACATATCCCTTAAACTTGATGGCAGTGATCTTAACATTTTTCTCCTTAGGATAGTCCTTGAACTCAAAGATTCGTTCAACAGTCAATAACCACTCCATAAACGCATCCCCTTATGTTTTTCCATCAAAATCAGGAACATCAACCTTCACATCATCCCTTTTCTCCTGATTATGGTTCCTCCTTCTCCTTGGGTGATCATATTCATCATCTCGTTGTCTGCTAGGTGGATCCGAACTTTTACTAGAGTCATCTCCATCAGCCATATGAAAGGGGTTAATATCAGTGTCCCCTTCATCGTCTTCCTTGGGCCTTCTATGTCATTCATTTCTTTCGTAGTGTTGGAGTTGCCTCTATAGTTGTTCAATTGTCCTTCTCATCTCTTCCATCTCTATGTCACGATCATATGTTCTTCTTTCACCTTCTTGAACTCAACGACCTTTTCTTGCTTGCATATTAGGTTCACTCCTACTGCTCTAATACCAAATTGATGTGATTCCTTGATTTAACAAAGAACCAACCGACCACGATCAAGATCTTGAGACAAAAACGTGGTTTGTGGGCCGGTTTCAAGAAACAACGTATCTCATATTTTAGAACTCGAAATATGATGATTCAAAAATGAGGTGAAAGAAGACAATCTAAACTATAAGAAAGACTATTTACTGGTTCAAAACAAGTAAATATTGAAGCTATAGTGGTTCAATGAAAGTTCTGATTCTAGGATATCAAAATAACAAATTTATATCAAGAAACATGTTCTTGAATGAAAAGTTCCTAAAGTCACCACTGAAATCAATTAATGTGATAAAGAAATACCACAAACAATTGAAAATAAGATAAATACTATACCACCTTGCTTGGAACCAAAAATAAGGATAAAGACGTCAAAATAGAGGAAAACACTCTATTGTAAACTAGACAAACCTTAAAAACGTGAATTGCATTCTACAAGGTAAGAGAACCCTTTATATAGGCCTAGAGTCTCTTCTTTGATGACTACAATTCCTATTCTAATAAGGAAATAAAATAACTAGACAAGGAAAGTAAAATCCCTATTTTATAAGGAAAAGAAACTAGAATCCTACTACAAGCAAAATCCTTATTCTAAAAGGAATAAACTAAATCCTATTTTAAGAAGGAAAGGGTCTTGGCTTCTTGAAATCAATCTTGGGCCTTTTGAACTTGAAGAAACGTCCACACACCTATTCGCGGGCATATAAGAACTTGTTTTTGGCGAGCTAAATAACAAAAGGCTAATATAGCTTCTTGATTTGTATCAGGAACTGATTATTTCATTAGTGTATGCTAAGTGTGACACTATTGATAGGATTGAACTATGAGATTCTATGTATGCACTTGCAAGAGATATGACTACTCCTTGCTCGTTGTAGGTAATTTCAATATGATATGGGATGAAGAAGAGAAATTTAGAGGAATACTAGTGTCTTTGAATGAAGTTGAAGATTTAGGAATTGTGTAAACACATGTAATTTCTTTGATCTTGGATTGAAGGGAAGTATATATACATGGTGGAATGATAGAGCAGAAGGTGATTATATTTTCAAAAGATTGGATCGTTGCCTAGAAAATCTAGAATTTCAGCAGCTACTGCCAGGCTTGGACATAACTCACCTACCAAAGATTAGTACCGATCATAATCCTATGTTGATTATGTGTACTCCAGTTTCTGTCCCAATAAAGAAATCTTTTAGATTTCTCATTTTCTGGACGAAACATGAGTCTTTTGTAGATGTTGTGAAGGAGGTGTAGGGCTTATTTATGTGCAAATCCATTTATTATCTTCAATCACAAATTAAAGAAGCTAAAGATGGCATTATCTACGTGGAGTATGGCAACATATGGAGATATCTTTCAAAAAATTTCAAATCAAGAAGAGGTAGTCCTGGTACATGAAGCACAATTTGAGCTTAACCCTACTCAACTAAATAAGGAAAGGCTTCAAAATGCTCAAGCTGAATTCATACGATATTTGGCACTTGAGGAGAAATTTCTGAAATAAAAAGCTGGTATGTCTTGGTTTTAAGATGGAGATGGGAACACAAAATTTTTTCATGTTCAAGTGAATGGTAGAAGAAAGAGATTGCAACTTAAAGGGATCCATACTAGTGAAGGGTTGTGGATAGAAGCTAATGCGGCTATGTTAGATGAGGCAGTATCTTTCTTTCAGTCACAATTTACTGAAGATAGGATTCCTACTGATTTCAGGATAATTTATCATATACCTTGTATGGTAAATATGGAGCAGAATCAAGATCTTTTGAAGTAGCCTACCAAAGATGAAGTTAAAGTGGCTATTTTTGGATTGAATGGTGAGAGTGTAAGGGGTCCAAATGGCTTCTTAGGATGTTTCTTTCATTCATGTTGAGACATTATTGGTGATGACATATTTGATATGGTGAAGGCTTTCTTTAATGGGCAAGAATTACCAAAATGTGTAATTCATACTGTCACACCTCCTTTTTCACACATACCCCCGGAAGGGCATGAAGGAGTTTTTCCATTTAAAGGACAATTGGAATGGGATTTAATTATTAATTATTCAGAGTCGCCACTTGAGAGATTAATGGTGTCCCAAGTCACCGGTTGAATCTCGAATCGAGGAAAAATATGACTCTGTTAACAGTCTGCGAACTAGAAATCCGAGTAAGGAATTCTGTTAACCCGGGAGAAGGTGTTAGGCATTCCCGGGCTTCGTGGTTCTAGCACGATCGCTTAACTGTTGTATTTGATTTTATCTGATTTCAATACCTGCTAGATTATATGCCTTTTATTTAATTTTGAACCGCTTTTATTATAATTATTTTTTTAAAAGAATTGCGACGTCGTGAAAACGCGTTTCGAACCACGTCGCAATCAATGCACCCGTGATTATCAACACATTTCGACTTTGTCAAGATTTGGATTTGAGTCTCATCAATGCGCACCCGATTTTAAGAAGGTCATTTAATTAAAATCGCGCCTAAAGATTGTAACGTAATATTATTTTGGGGAAAAGTTGTGAAGTTTGCTAAATATCCTTCCCAAATTCTAATCATTTTTAATAACCATTTATTGAGGGCCCCACATTTATTTATTTTCGTTTGGTGGAGCTCATCTCAATTTGTGAACCTACTTTTATTATTTATTTTATAAGAATTACGATGTCGTGAAAACGCGTTTTGAACCCCGTCGCAATCAATGCACCCGTGATTGTCAACACATTTCGACTTTATCGAGATTTTGATTTGGGTCGCATCAATGCGCACCCGAGTTTAAGAAAGTAATTTTATTAAAAAAAACGCTCCTAAAAGGTCTAACGCGTTGTTATCTTTAGGGAAAGCCGCGACATTCGCTAAACGGCCCATCCCGAAGTCTAAAAGTCCTAATTAATTTGCACGTTTTCAGCTTCAAGTTCATGGGATTATACTAATAGCCTCAGCGCCTATGAGATTGAGAAAGGCTGCCCAAGTTTAAAGTATGCAGCTAGCTGCTCTTCAAATGTGAGATTCAGTATTATCTGATCCAAGATCATCTCAATTGACAAGTTATATGGCACAACAAAGGACTGAGGATAGATATATGCAACATACATAATATTTAAGCTCGGACAGGATAGTAACCAATATCAACTCAAAACAATGGTTAAAAATGAACCCTTATGTTGATAAATCAAGCTGGAGGTTTGCAATTCAACATTCAAACCAGAGGATCAGATAACTGAGAGAAAAGAATATGCAATCCTGCTACTATAAGAACAAAATGGATCCTGAAATGCAGATAAACCAAAAGCCAAGATAGATTCCTTAACAAGGCTAACAATGCAGAATTTGCACTCAAAATGCACAAACTTGCTGCTCAATTAGTGCAAAACAAAGCAGATTTTTCAGCAGACTCACAGTTCAAACAAATAACCAAAATACTGTGCGTCATCAGCTCAATCTACTGCTGAAATTGCCTTCTTCATCAGCTCGAAAGAACAAGATTATTACAGCAGTAACAAAACAGGGAGAGCACTTAAACCTTCAAATTCGCCACTGCCTCACCAGGAAACTATTCCAAGTATATCAAAGAAGCAGAACAAAAAACTATTTCAAACTCGAACCTGATGGAACCAAACCATGTGATATCAAGCAGAGCGTTGACTGATTTAATAGAATTAGGTGCCAAGGA